CCTCTTCAGGAGGAATAGTCGAAAATAGTCAAACATGGTATGGGAACGATGTTCCTACCATCTTTGACTAGTTTTGAATATGTGTTGCCTATGTTAATATGTGTCTTCTACGCTCCGCCTGTAGGAGGACATGCCCGACCTAACGCTAGCCGCTAGTGTGCATCGCGCGCGCAGGGTGCGCAAATCGCAGAGAGCGTGGAGAGTGTACAAGAGTGTGTCGAACGCGCAGAGAACGACCTAGAACGAAGAGAGCGCAGGGAGCGTTCGGACTGCTTGGCGCCTACCATGTGGAGTCTAGATGGAGAGAAAGAGAGAGGGGGAGAGAGAGAGAGAGAGAAAGAGAGAGAGGGGGGGAGAGAAAAACGATTGAACGAAAGAGAGAGATAGAGAGAGTGATACATGAGTGAAGGAGAGAGCGAGAGAGAGAGAGAGAGAGAACGAGAACGAGAGAGAGAGAGAGAGCGCTTGCGACGTTGAGGGTGGAGCGCAAGTCACTGTCAGAGCGCGTGGAGAGCACAGGGCCCGAGTGCAGGTGCGGTGCAGAGAGCTTGGGCGCGGCCCGCCCGCGCCAGCGCGTGGTGCGCGGGGCCCTTGCTTAGCCGCCCCTCCCCTCCGCGCCTGCGGCCTCCCCCGCGCCCCTGCGCCCCACACCTCGCCTCCCCCCCCCTCCGCGCCGCGGGCCTCCCACCTCGCCTCCCCCCTCCCACCTCGCCTCCTCCTACTCCTCCTCCTCCTCCTCCTCCTCCACCTCCTCCTCCTCCTCCTCCTCCTCCTCCTCCTCCTCCTCCTCCTATCGATTCTGACCCCGATTCCGACGGGAGTGAGTTGTTTTAGTCATTGCGTTCACGCGATCCACAACAACAACCTCCTCCTCTTCCTCTTCCTCCTCCTCCTCCTCCCGCCTCTTTCCTCCTCCTCTCCCCCTCCTCCTCCTCCTCCTCCTCCTCCTCTTCCTCCTCTCTCCACCTCCCCCTCCTCCTCCTCCTCCTCTTCGTTCCCCTCCTCCTCCTCCTCCTCCTCCTAGTTCTCCTCCTCTTTCCTCCTCCTTCTCCTCCTCCTCCTCTTCCTCCTCCTTCTCCACCTCCCCCTCCTCCTTCGCCACCTCCTCCTCCTCCTCCTCGTCCTCGTCCTCTTTCTCCTCCTTCTCCACCTCCCCCTCCTCCTCCTCCTCCTCCTCCTCCTCCTCCTCCTCCTCCTCCTCCACCTCCCCCTCCTCCCTCCTCCTCCTCCTCCTTCTCCTCCTCTCCTCCTCCTCCTCCTCCTCCTCCTCCTCCTCCTCCTCCTCCTCCTCTCCTCCTCCTCCTCCTCCTCCTCCTCCTCCTCCTCCTCCCCTCGCCTCCCCCCTCGCCTCCCCCTATGCGTATCAGCGTGCGGTGCTGGGCACGGCCCTGTGCGGCAGATGCCCTCGGCGGAGCACGCTCACACGACCTGCGACATAGCCATGCAGGACCTTTCTTCTTGTTTCTAGAAGCACGCTCACGCGAACTACGACAGAACCATGCAGGACATGGTTTCTATTCCTGTATATATATATACATATATATGTCTACATCTGCCAATCTAGTGAAAAAGAGAGAGAGAGAGAGAGAACAACACACAGGACCCAGACTTGCGACGTCCTGATTTTCACAACACGGGGTCCCTAGAAATCCCGAACCTTTCCCCAGGACAGGTTTTTCATCTTCGGTCGTTTTTGACGGATCTGAGGCCCGGCGAGGGCCACCCCGAGGCCGAAAACGGCTAAACACCTCCTGCCCTGAGATCCGACGCCCTGATTTTTTCAATGCGGGGTCCTTGGAAGTCCGGGCCCTTTCCCAAGCACCGGTTTTTCATCCTGAGCCGTTTTTTGACGGGTCCCGAAGCCCAGCGAGGGTTCCCGGGGCCCGAAAACGAACAAAGAACTCGCCCGTCCTGATTTTTGTTTTACGACGTGCTATCGTGTCTTTTACGTTTCCGGGCCCTGGTTGAAATTGTTGATGCATCGCGTCGTTTGCTTTGTAGGACGATAACTCGCCCTACAAAGAACCAGGAACGAGATGCATCGACCAAGACGTGGTCGTTTTCGTGCGGACGATTTTTGTTTTACGACGTGCTATCGCGTCTTGGGTCGTGCATCTCGTCCGCGTTAGCTCTGGCTCGAGGCGCCGGGGCCCCCGCTGCCCGGGCGCGCGGCAGCCCCCCTCTCTGCGCCTCGCCCGCCGGGTGTTGCCAGGGGTGGCGATCGGCCCGAGGGGGCCCCCGGCTTCTCCAGGCCCGGACCCCCTCGCGCCGTGAAAAAAGCACGACGGGAGGATGTTGGCCTTTTTCGGCCTCGGGGGGCCCTCGCCGGGCCTCGGGGGGCCCTCGCCGGGCTTCGGGAGCGTCAAAAAACGACTCGGGAGGAAAAACCGGTCCAGGGGAAGGGGTCCAGACCTCGGGGGGCCGACGTTGCGAAAAAATCACGCAGTCGGGTCTGGGGTGGCCTCTGGCAGCGGGCTCCTCAAGCAGTGGCGAGGAGCCCTGGCTCGCCTGTAGAGGCCCACCAAAGCATGCTCTAAGGACCTTTTTTGTGGTTTCGTGCGGCATGTTCTTGGAACAGTTCAAGTTGGGACCGTTTGGTGCTGTTGCATCGGCCTGATGCTTATGTTCTGTGAACATTGGTTTTCGTGTTTCGAACATGCTACTTTGTTCTAAGAGCACCTCGTGTTAGGCCTGTAGGAATGTCGAGACGGTCGGTTCTTTCTCAAGAGCTGCGGTGTAAGATATATGCTTCTCCGCTGTCGGGAGCGCCTATCCCAGGGCGGCCGGAGAAACTAGGCTCCTGCAGTGCTGGGGGAGGCGTCCCCGATGGAGGAGCCAGTTATTTGATATTGCCGTCCGCCAGTTCCAGAGCCCGCCTCGGGAGCCCCTGGGGGGAGGGGTGGGGGGGCGGGGGGGGGCGCAGGGTGTCGAAGTGGTGCGGGGACCTGGTAGCACCGTGGGCCAGGATCCCTTCTGGCAGCCTCCGGTCCTCTGAGGGGCCCCCCTGCCTGGCCCCGGCCCCTCTGGTGGCCCGCACGGTGGCCGAAGGGAGAGAAAGAGAGAGAGAGAGAGAGAGAGACACACACCGAGCCACCCACACCTCAGAGCCGACGTCGCTAATCCAACGCAGCGTCGTCGCAAATCACAACCGCAGCCCCATTCCCAGCCTTCCCTGCGGCAGAGCTCGGTGCCGGATCGATCCGCGGCGAGGGGCCCTGGGTCCCGCGAGCCGGGCCGAAGCGCACGGCACGAAGACGAAACCACGGCGCCCTGATCTCAGGGATCGCACCACGATGCCCGCCCCCTCCTCGCTCTCCCTAGATGCTCGTTCGAGGGACCTTCTGGGGCCCACCTGCCGGATTTGTTCGACTCCAGCTCGGCTCCAGGTCGGCTCTGGTTCGACTCAAGGTCGACGGGCGTTCGACGCAACAGCGGCGCACGAGCGGAGCGGGAGGCCCCAGGGAGGTCCCCAGAGCGAGCACGCAGCTCACTGCTCTCGCGGAGGGAGGAGGGAGGAGGGAGGAGGGAGGAGGGAGGGGCGAGGAGGGAGGAGGGAGGGAGGAGGGAGGAGGGAGGGAGGAGGGAGGAGGAGGGAGGAGGGAGGGGCGGGGAGGAGAGGTTGGGGCGAAGAGGGAGGGAGGGAGGGGAGGAGGAGGAGGAGGGAGGAGGGAGGAGGGAGGAGGGAGGAGGGCGGGGCGAGGAGGAGGGAGCGGTGCTTGGTGGGTGGGGCGGCGCTGGGCCTGCCGAGGGCTGCCGCCTCTTCGCGTCGAGACTTCCGTCGGGCGTGTCCCTCCACGGGAGGGTTCTTCAAGAGAGTAGTCAGGACACGGTCCGGGGATGATTTTTTCAACGTGTTATGACTATTCTGGAGTACTTGTTTGGGGGGGTGTATTTTGGATTTTCCGTCCAAGATCCCCCTGTATGAGGGACACGCCCGGCTTAAGTTGAGACGCGGCAAGCAAGTGCAGTCGTTCCAGCGCCGAGAGCGACTCGGGATGAAAGCCCCGTCCCGGGCAAAAGTCGAGGCCTCTGGGGAACCCATCCTGCAACGCAGTCGCAGTCTCGGAGGTTTGGGGGGGCAGAGGGCTTCTTAGCATGACCCCCTCGCCATCTAAAAAAACCCTGGCCACCCCCCTCGCGCGCCGCTGCCGCTCGCGCCAGTCCGCGACGCGGCGGAGGCCCGCAGCGGCGATGCCCGTCCCCAGCGCGGACGAGGCGCCGGACGACGACGACGACGACGACGACGACGACGACGACGAGGACGACGACGGCGACGGCGACGAGGACGACGACGACGACGAGGAGGAGGAGGACGACGACGACGACGACGAGGGCGAGGCCGCGCTCCTGGCGTCCGCGGCGCCGTGCCCCGCCGCGGGCGCCGGCGCCCGCTGGGCGCCGCCGCGGCGGGCGGCGGCCGCCGCCTGCGCGGCGGCCGCGCTGCTGTGTCTGTGCGGCGCCGCGGGCCTCCCGCCGCGCGGGCGGCGCCGCGGCGCCGGCGGGCGCGCAGGCGGGCGGCTGGCGGGCGGCGGCGGCGGCGCCTCAGACGGCAGCGGCGGCGGCGCCGACTCGGACGGCGGCGGGGCCGATTCGAACGGCAGCGGCGGCGGAAGCGGCGCCGACTCGGACGGCGGCGGCGGCGGCGGCGGCGACGACGACGACGAGGACGACGACGACGACGACGACGACGACGACGACGACGACGACGACGACGACGGCGGCGGCGGCGGCGGCGGCGGCGGCGGCGGCGACGACGAGAACGACGAGGACGACGAGGACGACGAGGATGAGGACGAGGACGACGAGGATGAAGACGAGGACGAGGAGGAGGAGGACGAGGACGACGTCCAGTACCTTCGGCAGTGAGGACGACGAAGGTGGCGGCGGCGGCGGCGAAGACGGCGCCGATGCCGCCGCTGATGCCGACAAGACTTCGAAGGCGGCCCCGATGCCGACGCCGACGTCGGCGGCGGCGGCGGCGGGACCTCGCCTATCGTCAGGATGCCAGCGCTAGCCCTCTGCACGCGACCGTCCTGCAGGCCGGAGGGAGAGAGAACGCACACCGACACGTTGGGCTCCCAGCTAGTTTAGCACATAATCTCGAAAAAGAAAAAGTGCCATAAACATAAATTTGTGGCGCTCCGCGCGGATTTCTTAGATCCGCGCTGGGCCCCCCCCGGCGGCGCCTCCGGCGTCGCCCCCAGCGCGCTCCGCGCGCCAGCGATGGGGGTCCAGCGCAGATCCAAGAAACCCGCGCGCAGTGCCACAAGTTTCTGTCTGTGCCGTTGCTTCTTCTTCCAGGGTCGATCGACATCGGACAACTTGCCTTGTTGGAAGGTTGCGACCGTTCGAGGTCGAGCGCTCCTCGCGGTGTCAGAAGCTGTCGGCGCGATCGCCCACGTGCTCGGCGCTGGGTTCTGATGCGGACATGCCGCGGCCATTCCTCGGTCTCGCCTGCTCGGGCCTCCCTGGGGGGGCACGTCGCCACTGCCGGGCCCGCCTCGGAGGCCTGGCCGGGGAGCTTGCCAGCACGCCCCCAGAACTCCCACATGATCGTGTTGCTGTTTCGCAGCGTGGGCCTCCACATGTCCCCGCTCCTTCCTGGGGACCAGCTTTATTAATAGATGGCGGGATGGGTTATTAGTCGTTTGGGAACATGCGACTGGATGCCATGAATCCTTCTAGTGCGCTTGCAAGCTTCCGCCTTCTAAGGTGGATAAGGCGCCAATATGTCGAGACAAGCTAGCTCCTCTGAGTCCCCTGCCAAATATCTAAGTTATAGTTCCATGGAGTAGCAATGTCTATCAGACACCTCTCTGACAGAAAAGTTATTGATACGTGTTGGCCAGTGTCAATATTTGAACGATAAGCTGTGTGTCTGTTGGGAGATAGATACATGACACGGGACGTACATGAGACTTACCTGTGAACGCGCGAAGTTGTTTATTCCTCCTTGCGCAACTTACGCACCAATTAAGTACTCTCTGCTGATGCTCATGTTTTTTCTTGCATGCAGCCAGTCGTGTTGATGGGATGAACGCGGTCCTGAAGGCTGTTCAGCGCGTGAACGGGATATTCTGTGTGTGACGCGCATTAGTACTGTATTCAATCGACTTGGCAAGCGCTCAGATCGCCGAACCATTCAGTAGGCGATCCGGCGATCGGGTTGCTTTTCGGTCGATCGACGGTCCAAGGGCCCCGGCGAAGGTCCGCAGAGCCCAAAGCCGGCGAACGAAAGTAGGTGTTGATGCTCTCGAGGCGCTGTATGCGGGTCATCGCCTAGGGCACCTGGGGATGTGATTGTCCAATCTGCGGCCCCAGAGCTCTGGACCCCGTCCCTGGGGGCAGCGCCCTGCAGCAATCTGTCGAGCAGGTCCCGGGACTCCTGGGATAGAGCTTGTAGGTTAGAAGTTCGTTTGGGCCCCTTGCGATTTTCAGGAAGAACTTCACGGCCTTTTGGGGGCCCCTGTCGTTTTTTGACAGAAACGCAAGTGGGAAGCGGGTCGTAGGCAATGTCAACGGCCATCGCAACAACGATGACGATGATCGGGGAAGTTTTTTTTTCAGTCGGCTCTACAGTTCTGCTACAGCTTCCTCCCTGCAGCTCCAACTTTAGTTCCTACTGCAGACAGAAGCACAGCTGTCACTATAGCTCCTGCAACAGTTCCTTCTGCAGCTCTCACTGTAGTTCCTACTACACCTAATTACGAGTAAGCCAGTAGTACAGGTCTGACCAAATCTCATACGAAGTTCACGACAGCTGCCGAGAATGGAGGTCCCATTGCAGCTCGAACTGCAACTCCTACAACAGCTCAGTTTACAGTTCCTACTGCAGGCGTTACTTTAGTTCCTACCTCAGCAACCAGTACAGCTCTCACGACTCACCTCGCCACAGCTCCTCTGACACTTAATCGAACACGCCTACGGCGAATCACCGCCGCCCCCTGCCTTTTCGGAAGCGCCTATGCGGCCGAACGTTGTGGCCAGAGGCCTGCCAAACTATCGGACCATGTGTTCCCCGAATCGGTTTGGAAAGCGTTCGGGGAACACGTGGGGGAGGAAGAGGAAGAGGAGAAGGAGGAAAAAGGAGAAGGGGGAGGATGCCTCTTCGGAGCCTCTTGAGGCACTCTTGGGCTCGATTGGGCCATCTTGGGACCGTCTTGGAGACCATGTTGGTGCTATCTTGGGCTCTCGTGGAGCCTCTTGAAGGCCTCTTAGGGGCCTTCTTGGGACTTCTCGGGGGCCTCTTTGGCCGTCTGAGGGCGTTCCTGGCCCGTCTGACGCCGTCGGGAGCCGTCTTGGGGGCCTCTCTGAACCGGCTTGGAGCCCTCCGTCTTGGAGGCCATCTTGGGCTTTTTGGAGGCCTCTTGGCCCGTCTTGGGGCCCTCTTGGGGCCGTCTTGGGGCCGTCTTGGGCCGCCATGGGGCCATCTTGGAGGCCTCGTGGGCGATCTTGGGGCGATCTTGGGGGCCTCTTGGGCCGTTTTCAGCCGTCGGAATGCCGAGAAGAAGCAAATACCAAAACCCTTCAAAAACCTAACAGAAATCAATGATTTTGGCCTCTTCGGGCCCACCTGGAGGACCTCTTGGAGGCCTCGTGGGTCGTGTTGGGCCGTCTTGGAGGCTTCTCGGGCGACCTTGGAGGTATCTTGGACTCTCTTGGGCCGTCTTGGAGGCCGTCTTGAACCATCCCGGGCGGACTTGGAGGTCTTCTTGGAGTCCATCTTGGACGCCATCTTGAGCCGTCTTGGAGGTTTTTTTTTGGGACGTTGGGGTCCTGGGCAATCCTCCCGGGACCCCGGCGGGACGGGCCGAAGCGCCAGGGGGAGTTCTTTTGGAAAAAACCAAAACCAAAACCGAAAGGATCCAGCACGCCAGGCACCCATGCGATGAATCGACAGGGGGCGGCGGACCTAATGGCCTTCGGCCCATCCCGCCACGGTGCCTGGGTTGTGGATATGAAGCCTATTGGATGTTCGTTGGGATCTCGTGGGAGGCTTCTCGGAGGCCTCTTGGATGCAGTTTGGAGGCCTCTTGAGGGCCGTTCTGGGGCCTCTTGGAGTGTCTTTTGGGCCTCTTGGGGCCTCTTGGGGGCCTCCTGGGGGCCTCTTGGACTTCCTGAGCGCCTCTTGGGGCCTCCTTGGGGCCTCTTGAGGCGGAAGGCTCGGATTTTCGGTTCGTGTTCCTTCTCTTGGGCCCCTTTTGGAGCCGTCTTGGGCGCCTCTTGGGCCGTCTTGGGGCCCTCTTGGAGGCCTCTTTGGCCGTTTTGGGGTGGTCTTGGGGGCTTCTTGGGCCGCTTAGGAGTGTCGAAAAGCGGAGAAGGCGAGAATTCCCAGACCTTTCGAACATTGAAGGAAAATATATGATTTCGGCCTCTTGGGGCCTTCTTGGGAGTGCTCTTGGAGGTCTCCTTGGGCGTCTTGGAGGCTTCTTGGGCCCTTGTGAGGCCATCTTGGGCGTCTTCGGCCGATCTTGGAGGCCTCGTGAGGCGCTCTTGGTTCTTCTTGGGGCTCTCTTGGCCCTGGACAAGTCATGCGAGGGAGACGTGCTTCTTTTGGGTTACGCGCGTTAGACACTCGTGTTTCCCGTCCGAGCGCGGCGGTCGAGTGACTAATTCGTGTCTAGAATTCGCGAGTGCCTAACAGCTAGCTCTCCAGTGTCTAACGCGTGTCCTGTGGAAACAAGTGTCTAACCCGTGTATAGCTGACACGTGCACAGCGCTGCTGTGCCATAAATTCAGCGCGCGAGTGGAACAGGAAAGCGCAAGCCCCCGTTCTGACCATAAGCAGAACAACACATCTTCGCATATCAAAAAAACTGTGGCAAGTGCAGCGGGTCATGCGGGAAACGCCCATCAAATTAAGGCCCTGCAACAAAGAGCAGTGTTTCCGGGAAGCTCCTACCGCTCGTCACAACGATTCCAGTCGTCCGCTTCGTCTCTCCTAACTCGTCATCTTCGTCATCCTCGTCCTTCGCTCCTCGTCATCCTCCGCATCGTCGCGCCCCTCGGCTTCCTTACCGCCCACATCGTCCTTCTCCTTGTCCAGATCCTTCTTTCCCCACGCAAGAACCTCATCCAACTTCGCCTCTCAAGGCTTCTTACTCCATGCCAGTCGCTCGCTCCTCGTCTTTCGCTTCCCCCTCCTACTACTCCTCCTCCTCTCGGTCCCCCTCCTCCGGCTCATCCCCCACGCGCTGTCGTCATTCCTGAAAAATTCACCCTCCTCTCGACCTCGCTCCCCGCCTTTTGATCCTCCTCGTGCCCCTCGTCCCCAATATACCCGAATGCCCATCACCCCATCGCTACCAGCCAGCAGCCACTCATCATGCCAATTGTCTTCACAACGAGTTCCGGCCAACAGCGAAACGAAACATATCACCGACTGCCATAATCAGTTGATTCGTATGACGCGTGCGCGAAGTCAGCTTATGCAGTGTCTAGCGTGTTTACGAAATTGGTAAAGTATATCTAACGTGTCTTATTGTCTAGAAGGTCTGTACAACACGTTCAACGTGTCAAAGTTCATGTCTAATAAATTGCGATTCGAGGTTAACGTGTCTAGCGTGCCTAACATGTCTAACATGTCTAGACAACCATCGCTAAATCACTGTGGTTTGCAATGGTTCGCAAGCTCAGCATAAACACGATTTAGACGCGTGGAACATCACGGATGCCTCACGCGGCACGCAACATCAATTAGATACCCTCGCTTGTCTTCCTGGGTCAGGACTGAGGACTGAGGCCCCAGGATTTGGCAAAGGACTTGAGGACACCCGTACTCCGTGACCAGAGGCGCGGTGGTGGATACTACACTTCCCATTACGTATCCGAGCGCAGTTCTTATTGCAATTCCCACACTATCAACTTGAACAGCTCTTATTACAGAGTTTACAACATCAGCACAGCTTCTACCAACATTCCTTCTGTACAGTCAACCGTCTAGCTCTCACTGCAGCTCATGATGAAGCCATTAGTACAACCTTCACTGCAGTTCTTACCAGGGCCGTCCCGCTTCAACTCATAGAAGAGGTCCTTCTTCATCTCTGGCTACAGCTAGCAGCACAGCTCCCCACAGCTTCCATTACAAGTCTTACAGCAGCTCCTGCGACAGCTACTACTACGGTTCCCAATGCGGGCTGCCGTACATCTACCAGTCAAGTTCATACGAGAGTTCTTCTCACAGTTCATGCTAGAGCCAGCGGCACTCTCCCTACAGCTCCCGCTACAGCTCATACCGTAGATCTTCGTACAATCCCTACTGCAGTTTCTGCTACAGCTCCAGTCAGACTCCACAAGTCTCACTGCACTTCCTGTTGCTGCCAGGAAAGCAGCTCCCGCTACAACTCCTGCCGCTACGACAGCTCGCTCTGCAGGTCTCACTGCGTCTTCTATTAGAACTCCTTCAACCGCTTCTGCTGCCTAGTACGGTCACTAGCTCAACTTGCATCAAACTCCTGCTCCACGGTCTACTACAGCTTATGACGCACAACCTATTATATATCCGATCGGAGTTCTTACGGCAGTTTCCACGACAGTAGTCGACAGGGGTCTCGCTCCAACTCCAAGCACAACCAGTAGTTCGTATCTCAAGTCGACTCAATGCATCTCCCATTGCAGTTCGTGGTGCGGTCTCCAGTGCAACCGGCACTACAGCTCTGACTACAACTCCTACTGCACCGCAAACGGCATTTCTTGACGCAGCTCCAGCTACAAGTCTTCGCCGCAGCCACCAGCGCAGCTTTGTACAGCTTCTGCTACAGCCAGTAGCACAGCTATCAGTACAGCTCTTACCATGATCCCCCTGTAACAGCTCCTATCGGAGGCCATAGCAGATTGTGCTACATCCGGCAATGCAGTTCCCTCACCGTTGCTCCTTCAACAGCTCTCACTTCAGCTCCGATTGTACCTTCGTATCAGGTCGAACTAGAGCTCGTACTACATGATTCACAGCCAACAGTACAGGTGTCGTCGTTCTCCTCCTCCTCCCCCTCTTTCTGCTTATTTCCCTGAAGAAGTAACTCCTCCCAGTCGCACCCCCAGGTGTCTGTAGGGCGTTTCATGTGAGATGTCTCCACCATGAGTGATCCTGAAGTTTGAATTTGAACAGCTTCACGGATGGACCGTGGATTGTTTTCAGAACGTGGCTCTCGCTTCAGCGCCGCGCACATTCGTCTTTAACGCTTGCAGCACTGTCACCGATAAAGAGCGGGTCTTCTTACAATGTGGCTCTGGCCGTTACACCGCGCCCATTGTTTCACACGTTCGCAGTTGTACGGATCGGGAGCGGTTCTTTGTCCAGAGTGTCGTTCTCGCTTTAGCCCCGCGCACATTCGTTTCTAGAATTGGCAACCGCTTCACGGATGGAGGGCGGTTCTTCTTCAAAATGTTGTTACCACTTTAGTGCCGTGCACTCTCATTGTCTACGTACACCGCAGTTTCATTGGTCGAGGGCGGTTCCTTTTCAAAATGCGGTTTCCGCAGTATCGCCGCTCACATTCGTCTTGAGAGCTTGCAGCAGTTTGAAGGATGCGTATGGTTAAAATCGCAGGAATTGTCTTTGGCACGGCTTAGGATTGCCAGGACGCAAGAGTCACGTTGATCCACGGTGTTGAAGACTGTGTGTTGGCACGATCTAGTATTCTCAGGACGCAGCGGACACCTTGAATCGTGGCGATGGATTCCGAAGAATCGTGTTTGGGCATGATTGAGAATTATCAGACGGCTGTTTTCACACGTCCCGCAATGAAAATCGTTGCCTGCACGGACCTGTGCAGAGGGAACATGGAGGGAGGGCTTACTGCAGCGTTGTTCATGCGTCTTGGGTTTGCGCTGGTCCTGCTCGTCCTCTCTTCCCTCCCAATCAGAATCCTCTTTCAGGGCGGAGTCGCTGAAACCCATACGGAACACAAAAAGAACCAAGAACACAAAACAAATATTGGGGAACTTAGGAGGGAGCGAAGAGTCCCCTCTGGATAGTTGTTTTGTTTTATGTGGTTATCCTTTTCGTTTCCCATGGCTCCGCCCTAGAAGAAAGTTCTGATTGGGACGATGAGGGGTAGGTGGAGGAGGAGGAGGAGGCGGAGGAGGGGCAGCAGCAGCTTCAGGAGGGGGAGGAGGAGGAGGAGGAGGAGGAGGAGGAGGAGGAGGAGGAGGAGGAGGAGGAGTTGGAAGAGGCCATGCCGTGCTTTCGTAAGGAGACGCAGGGGTCCCAAACGAGCTCCTAACCAAAATATCACATCTCGATTGGAAAGCATGCTGAGCATGACCAAGACGCGGGATCTGGTCGACGCCGAACTTATGGCCATGGTCCATGCCGACCGTCGCCAACACGCGAGAACGGTCCACGAGTCGACGGTGACCAATGGACGGTCACCGCGACCGGAACCGGCGTTTCCGCAACATGGACTTGACCATGGCCATCGTTTTCTTTTTCCCTCCATCATCGGAGATCAGGGCCTCTGTACTCCCAAGCAGGTGCTCGTTTTTTTATTCATAGTTTTGCCAATCGGCGCGGACCCTCGCACCCCCCCTCCCCCACCCTGGAGTGGATCTTGGCTGCTGTGGGCGCCTGTTTCGAGCAGGTGGAGCCCTTCCCCCACAGGACGCACTGTCGCAAACAGTCGCACGAAGCAGAGGTTCGGAGCCAGCTTCCCCCCTTTCCGCCCAATGTCGAAACGCTCATTTTTTAAACGAAAAAGATAGACAAAAACTCACCAGCAGGAGCTCCGCCGCAGGGCCGACGCGCCGGCGGCGGGCGCCCCCGCGCGGGCGCTGGAGCGCGCGGTCGGCGGCAAGTCGGGCGCCGAGGCGCCGGGCTACCTGCAGGCCGCGGGCGAGGCGCCGTGCGACTCGGCGGAGTGCGAGGCCTCGTGGGGCGGAGTGGGGGGTTCTCCGGAGGGCTTAGGCGACCCGTCCTCCCCCTCCTCCTCCTCCTCCTCCTCCTCCTCCTCCTCCTCCTCCTCCTCCTCCTCCTCCTCCTCCTTCTCCTCCTCCTCCTCCTCTCCTCCTCCTCCTCCTCCTCCTCCTCCTCCTCCTCCTCTCCTCCCCCCTCCCTCCCCTCCTCCCCCTCCCCTCCTCCTCCTCCTCCTCCCTCCTCCTCTCCTCCTCCTCCTCTCCTCCCCCTCCTCCTCCTCCTCCCTCCTCCTCCTCCTCGGGTCGCCTAAGGGCCGGGGGGGAACTGTGCAGGGCGGAGAGCATGTCCGCATGCACGGCCCCAGATCTCCGACGATCTGAGTGGTTCAGCGGGCATGCTTTCCTCGACTTCGGCCTCCGGGGTCAGGGCTGGACCTAAACGCTGTTTTGCTGAACTTCGACTGTGTTTCGTTTTTCGTTTTGGCGGGGAGGTACAGGAAAACAGGTGGAGCAAAACGAGAAACAAAGCGAAAAACAACGTTTAGGTCAAGCCCTGCTCTGGGCCCCGTCCTCGGACGCAAACTCGCCCCTGGGAGAACAGTCGGGTCGGCGCCTCTCTGGGGCCGCGGATGGAACAAAACAACATGCCAGCGGGTGTCTGGGGTCTCGCTGGCCGGATTCCTGGTATGTCCCTCTACAGGAGGAGTATTCAAGAGTAGTTGCACAAATTGTTTAGTAACGATGTTTCCTGCTCTTTTGACTTCTTTGGTTATTTTCTGTTTGCTATGTCTTTTCCCCACAAAGTCCGCCTGAAGGAAGACATGCCCGACCGAACCGTAGATGCGGGGCGTTTTTTCGCTGATGCGCCGCGTGAAACGTTTCCATGCGACCGCGTATCGACGGGGTCCAGCCCCGGAGTCCAGACCGCGAGGGCGTCGATGTACTTATGGATGCGTGCGGCTACGCGACAGAGTGACCTTCCGCCGGAGTGACCTCTGGTGCGGGCACACTGGGGTCCCCAGACGGCCGAGCGCGAAGCGATAGCAGCGTCTTGCGCGCTTGTGTTTGGTCCCCCCCGCGGCCCCAAGAAACCGCGCACCAAAAGGTCACTCTTGCCAGGGGCCTGCGTTTCGCCGGGCAGGCCCGCCGCTGGCGACGCTGGGTGAGCGCCGGCAAGCCCGAGCAGCTGTCGGACGGCGCTGGCGACGGCTGCGAGGACTGGGCCCTGAGGGGAAGACCTCTCCGACGACGGCTGCTTCTGTTCAGCCGTGCTACAGTCAAGACGCTGAAATAAGGAACAGTTTGGGTTCGGAAGGGGTTCGATGTTCCTTAGGTTCCTCCAGTGTTGTTCCTCTTGCCCTCCTGGGGCACGGAGGCGCTTACAGGGCCAAGAAGGGGCTTCGTTCCTTATTTACCGTTCTTTCTTTAAGCGGCCCGACTGGAGGCCTCTAGATTCGGGGGTGGACAGACCCTCCACCCTGACACGTCGATTAGTGAATTGTCCGCTTTCGGTTTTCGAGAGGGCGCCGCGGCCGTCATTTTCCTGGCCAGCGCCCGCCAGGTTTGGGCCCGAGGTCGTTTTCACTCAACCACGTTTTACCAAAGGGGGTTCTGTCCATCCCCGATAGATGGGGTCGGAGTATATGGTGTCGGAGAATCGCGCCGCATCGCCGATGCATCGTCGATGCGGCTCGATGTGGGGCCCGATTTTCTCCACGCTGGAGTTGCCGATGCATCGCCGATGCATCAGCGATGGATCGCCGATGTATCGGCGATGCAGCGCGATCCTGGGACCCCATCCACTCGGACACCATCCAGGAGGCCGCTATTTGCTCCGCCGCAGTTATTTCCTCGATCTCGGCGTTCGGAGCCCGTGGTCGGGGCCATCGAACCCAGACCCCCTCGCGCTGTGAACAAAAGAGCACGACGGGAGGCTTTCCCGTATTGTTAAGTCGGGCCTGTCCCTCTACAGGGGAAGTATTCAAAAATAGTAAACAAATAGTCTGGGGACAATTTTTTATAGTATTTTTTTTTGACAATTTTGGAACATGTTTGGTTATGTTTTAAGTATCGTTTACAATTTTGGAGTATTTTGGGGCATTTTTAATTTTTCGTTCAAAATCCCCCTGTAGGGACACGCCCGACTTAACCCTATTTTCGGCCTCCCGGGGCCCTTCTACCGGGCCTCGGGCTCGGGACCGTCAACAAAACGACTCGGGATGAAGATCCGGTCCCGGGAGAGGGGTCCGGACCTCTGGGGGTCGACGCGTCGAACGAAATGTCTGCGTCGGCGGTCTGGGTTGTCGAGTAGGGCGACGAGATCTATGCATATCCACTGCTCCTGGCCAGGCCAATCCTGGGCCCAGGAGCGGTGTATACGCCCTCCTGGCCTGGCCAGGGAGGCATATACACCGCTCCTGTGCCCAGGATGGGCCTGGCCAGGAGCAGTGGATATGTATAGATCTCGTCGCCCTATCGAGACCATCAAGAATGGATGCGGGACGACGTGCAGCGCGGTGGCGCTGTCGAGACCTCTGGGGCCGCGGTCTGGGAAGGGAAGGGCAGCAGAAGGAGAAGGTGCAGGTGACGCTGCCCGTCGATCGCTCGTCGCCGTTTGCAGAATTTTGCCTCGGGATCCCTGGCCAGGGCGCACCTTGGGAGATCGGGCATTGGGAGAACGCCGACCCAGGCAAGTCGACTGAGGAAGTCTTCACTGGTTCGCTCGACACAGGCAACCGAGCGTGCCGATGAAGTCCCCAGCGGGCGCTAATCGACTTTCGCTTCGCCGAATACAGTCGGTTGTATTTGGACTCCGATTAGCTTCCCCGCTGGGGTGCGCTCGGAATGCGGTGCCGTGCGCACGTGGAGTGCCCCTGGCAGCAGTCAGCTTTCACTGAGGGTTGTTTTGCGAGAGGGTTTCGAACTATCGCGCGAGGAGAGGTCCAGGGAGCGAGCGCCGCAGCTTGGGTATCTTCCTGTCCCCCCGGAAGAGATCAGCCACGCGCAGAGGGGGGCAAGGGGGAAGGCGAGACGGCTTCTTTCAGAAGCGCCCCTGCTTCGCAGATGGCACGTGCCCTGTCTACAGATGTAGGGCCGGCGTCTTCTGGGAAGCAGGCGTGCTTCGCCAGAGTGGCCTCTGGTGTGCGCAGCTCGGGGCGCGCGCCGCGGCTGCCGCGAAACGCGAGCTGCGACATCGGCATGAAGCGCCGCCACTCCATGCCAACAGGGTCACTCTTGCGTGTCGCCGAAGACTCTCGACATGCACCTTCCACTCCTTCCGCGCGGCAGGCGCCGCGCTGCCGTGGCCGCCGCCGCGGCCGCAGCGGCGACCGCCGTCGAGGCCGCATCGCGGCGGCACCTTGCGCGGAGGGTACGGCAGGTGCAGGTCGAGGGGAGCTGCGCCTGGGGAGCGCCTGGCCCGAACCCTCTTGCTTCATTCGGAGGTCGACAGAAACCCCACCCTGCCAAGTCGATGAGCGAATCGCTCTGTGTGCGCTCGCTTCTCGCGAGAGGGTGTCGCGGTCGCAGTTTCTGCGCGGGCATGCGCCCGCTGGGTCTGAAAACCAGGTCCGATCTCGTTAAAGGACGCTTTGCTACACACAAGCGCACACATATACATATCTATACATATATATATATATGTGTAAAAATGAATATAGACATCTGTATATATATATATATATATATATATATGTATGTGGATATACTTCTCTTTCCACCCCCGGGTTCGTGCCAGGACATGCCTGCCATGGACACTTGCTCCCTCATTGTCGTCTTCAAGGACGGCGTCACGGAGGACAAGATGCGGCAGTTCGCGGCCGTGCAGGCCGGCGACGCGGACCTGCAGGTCATGCGCAGCCTCAACATGATGACGCTGTCGTTCGGCACCGACAATGCGAAGTGCTGCGAGGCGTACGACCTGGTCAAGACCAGCGGCAGCCCCCTCGTCAGGGGCGTGGAATTCGACCAGCCAATGTCGATTCGCTGAGCGGGCTCGGGCGGGCACTGTTCCTCCCGCTCCTCCGCCCACCCGCCCATGGGCTGGGCGAATTGTGGGGCCCCTGCTGCCCTAATGAAGGGATGCCCAGCCCACGCCAGTCTCAGCGAGACCTCGTGCCCGAGCTGCCCCACAGACAGGGCACTGCAGCTGTCGTTCCTCCGCTGCAATGCCAGCCCGCCAGGTCCGAAGCTCGAAAATGCCTCGCCAACATGCTTTACCACTACCTCCCTCACTTGCCCCTCGGAACCCCTTCTTCGCTTGTACTCGCGGCTAAACTAGCTCAGACCGCGCAGATCACTGCACCTCAAGCGTCTGACAGCAAGCTCCCATCTCACCTTCGGGAGGCCTGGAGGGGCCCATACCTCCGACGTCGTGATCTGTTCCGCGACATGCTTCCCCAGAGGCCTGGGCCTCTTCTTCCCAGGACCCGCTCGCCATCCTGAGTGGGTTCTTCAAGGTCCCGCGAGGCCCGGCGAGGGCCCCCAGGCCGAAAATGGTCAAATACCTTGTGCCGCAATGTTCTTTCCCCAGCGAGAGATGGGAGAGGTCGAAGAGGGGATCACTTGCAGAATTGGTCCCCCCCGAAATAATTGCTGTCCCCGTCGAGGCCACGAGAACATGCGCAGGTATGCTCGTAGATCTTCGAACATTCTACGCACTTTCTGTCGATCGGGTGACAATTTCAAGTCTGGGGTACAGTGGAGACCCGTGCCAAGAAACACCCTGCTCGCCTCCAGGGTGCCCTGGGTTTCTTGGGTTTCGATGTTTTTGCCATGGAAAGCGTGACGCTCCCACACCAAAGTTCGATCGACGTCTTGGGGTCTCAGGGTTGGGTTTCTTGTGGAAGCTTTCTTGTGGACTGGCCTCCACTGTAGCCGATCCCCTATACTCAAAGAAGAGAAGAAGAAACATAAACAGAAGACACGAAGAACAATGATAAGAAGAAGAAGAAGAATAATGAGCGACAGGAAGCGACGAGCGCAGCGCGAGGAGTGAGCGGGACGAGCGGGGGCAACGCGCCCCTGACCCGCCGCGTCGTGCCGACGTCGTGTGCGGCAGGCGTGGGGGAGGATATGTGCTTCTCCTCTTCCTCCTCCTCCTCCTTTTCCTTCTCCATTCCTTTTCCTTATAAATCATTTCTCCCTGTCGCAATGTTTAGGGCGGGCTGGGCGTTTCGCCTGAGACTTCCTCACCACTCAGGATTCTGAACCTATAAAAAAAAGGCAACGGCTTCACAGTTGGGGTGGTTTTCAAAATCTGGCTCTCGCCTCAGCGCCGCGTTCATTCGTTCTAACAAGTTGCAAGAGCTTCACGGATTGAGGATCACTTGTTTTCAACATGTGGCTCTCGCCTTAGCTCCGCGTGCATTGATTTTAAGAATTTGCAAGAGCTTCACGGATTGAGGATGACCCGTTTTCGAAATGTGGCGTTCGCCTTAGCGCCGTGCACATTCGTTGTTTAGATTGCAAGAGTTTCACGGATTGAGGGCGGCTCCTTTTCAAAATTTGGTTTTCGCCTCAGCGCCGCACACATTCGTTCAGAAACTTTGCAAGAGCTTCACGGATTCCCACGATCAGCGTACCAGAAATTGCTTTTTATTCAAGATTTTGCGGGTGCAGCAGTTACGTTGATTCGCGGCGTTGAAATCCCAATAATGGCGTTCTGGCGCGATCCAGGGTGGTCAAGACGCAACAGTCAGGTTGATCCGTGGCGTTGGAATCCCGAGAAAGATGTTTTGGCATGCTTATGGGTCTTCAAACGGCTGTCTTCCAACGAGGCAGATCCCTCAATGGAAATGAACCGTTGTAGGGGCCTATGAAAAGGGAGCTTGGAGGGAGGGTGTATTCCAACACCGTTGATGGCTCTTGGGTTTACACTGGTCCTCCTCCTCCTCCTCCTCCTCCTCCTCCTCCTCCTCCTCCTCCTCCCCGACAGCGTCGGTTTGGGAAAGTCCTTGGGAAAGCCCTCCTCCTCCTCCTCCTCCTCCTCCTCCTCCTCCTCCTCCTCCTCCTCCTCCTCCTCCTCCTCCTCCTCCTCCTCCCAGCGTCGGTTTGGGAAAGTCCTTGGGAAAGCCCTCCTCCTCCTCCTCCTCCTCCTCCTCCTCCTCCTCCTCCTCCTCGTCAGGCTCGCACCGCGTCGTGCCGACGCGGCGGCGGCCCCGTCGCAGGCGCTCCAGTGGGCGCTCCAGGTTTTTCGCTCCGCCGGTGGCCCCAGAGCTGGCCAGCGTGCAACGAGCTGGCGATCGAGGAGCCGAAGACCCCCTCGCGCTGCGAACAAAACATCGCGGCGGGAGGTCTTTCGCCATAGGTTCGGCCTCCGGGGGCCCCCACGGGGCCTCGGGAGCGTCCGAAGGCGACGCAGGACGCAAGACCTGTCCAGGGGAATAGGTCGAGACTTCTGGGGGTCGGCGCTGTGGAAAAACGTCACGACGTCGGGGGTCTGGGAGCCGTCGATCCGCGGGCTCGCCCGTGGGCCTCCGTGTCCAGGGCCTGCGCTGGGCCGAGGCTGCCTGCCGCGGTGTCCGACGAACACCTTCGGACACACACGTTTGTCCCAGGGAGGTCGCTCGACACGGTGCTCGACCTCCGTCGTGGGCCTCAGTAGCTGCTGGCCCCTCGTTCAGGCCCTCACGGGATCGCCGATGAAGAAGCCGCCGATCGTTCGAGTCTGGATCGTCCACGCGGTGCCGGAGGGACCGGCGCCAGGGTCGTGCCGACGACACGAGCCCGCCGCACCGCGCCCCGCCCAGCGCCCGGCCAGAGGAGAGCCAGCGAGAAGTTCAGGCAGATGGACGTGGACTTCAGCGGGGGCGTGCCCATCTCCCCTCGGCTACGCGTCAGAGTGGCCATTCGCCGGAGTGACCCCTGGTGCGGGCTCACAGGGCTCCCCCCGGCACTGGCATGCGCGCCCGGCTCTGGCCCACCCGCGGCCCCCCACCGCCGCGCACCAGAGGCCACTCCTGCCTGGGGCCACCTCTTGCGCGTGGTCGATATTCCCTGAGATCCCAGCGTCGATACCGTTCTCGCCCCCCGCGATTTGTCGCACGGCTTCGGGCCCCCGGCCCCTCGAAGAGTGCCGCAGGAAGCGGAGGTTAGGGTTAGGTCGGGCATGTCCTCCTACAGGCGGATTCCGAAAGAAAAGTGAAACATAGTCCAAATATGTTCAGAAATGATTCAACATAGATGGTGACTAGTTTTGAATCTTCCTCCTCTAGAGGTACATGCCCGACTTGAGTTTAATGCTCCTGCCGTGATTTCTGGCGGTGCTGCCAGTTCTCTTCGCGACGTCGGATCTCAGGGTCTCTCGGCGGGGCCCGCAGGGGGGGCAGCGCGGTGGGTGGCGGCGTCCAGGGAGGCGGGGGCCCTCTTAGAAGATATTGTCCTGTATCCTCTGGCGCGCAACGGTCGCTGCCTGGCCCCCCCCCGACCACTGGGTAGTGGTAACGATCGCGGTGGCTTTCTCAGAAGAGATGTTTTGTGTGTTTGTGTTATCTTCGTGCGCGTAACGGCCGTCAGTTGGGCCAAATCCCCCACGGGCAACGATAACGATCGCGATTACGTACGATGGGGGGGGGGCGTGAAAAGCCCCCCCGGATGCTGGTGCTCGCGCGCATACTAGCGCGAAAGCAGCGTTCCCTCGCCCGGGCGCGCCTCACCCAGCCCGGGCGTTGCCGTTCCCAGAGCACCATCGGAGCACTAGCAGCAAGAACACCGCGACGACCTCGAAGGGCCTGATGGGGGCTCCACCAGAGGCCCTGCCAGACGCCCGCGGGCCCCCTCGGCACTCCGTGAGGTCCCCGCCCGCTTGGTGGGTCGTCTGCGCGCCCTCCTCCTCCTCCTCCTCCTCCTCCTCCTCCTCCTCCTCCTCCTCCTCCTCCTCCTCCTCCTCCTCCTCCTCCTCCTCCTCCTCCTCCTCCTCAACACACCATGTAGCACGTTGCAGACATTGCATAGTGTGCGGGAGAAAAGAAGCACAGTGCAACGGGGAAAGCAAGAACACCAGCAGAGGATGCACATTGCCATGCAGTTGAACATGTCATGTTCCCTTTTGTTAGGGCACGAAACGGTAACACTTTACCCGTGCCTTAAACGACAGCCGAGACGATCCTCTTCCTCCTCATGTTCCTCCTCCTCCTCCTCGTCCTCCTCCTCCTCCTCCCCCTCCTCCTCCTGCTCAACCTCCCCCTCCTCCTCCCCTCCTCCTCCTCCTCTTCTTCCTCCTCCTCCTCCTCTCCCTCCTCCTCCTCCTCCTCTTCCCGCTCCCCCTGCTCCTCCTCCTCCTCTTCCTTCTCCTCCTCCTCCTCCTCTTCCTCTCCTCCTCCTCCTCCTCCTCCTCCTCCTCCTCCTCCTCCTCCCCTCCTCCTCCTCCTCCTCCTCCTCCTCCTCCTCCTCCTCCTCCTCCTCCTCCTCCTCCTCCTCCTCCTCCTCTCCTCCTCCTCCTCCTCCTCCTCCTCCTCCTCCTCCTCCTCCTCCTCCTCCTCCTCCTCCTCCTCCTCCTCCCCTCCTCCTCCTCCTGCCTCCCCTCCTCCTCCTCCTCCTCCTCCTCCTCCTCCTCCTCCTCCTCCTCCTCCTCCTCCTCCCTCCTCCTCCTCCTCCATCCGCCTCCCCGCCTCCCCCGCCTCCTCCTCCTCTCCTCCTCCTCCTCCTCCTCCTCCTCCCTCCTCCTCCTCCTCCTCCCTCCTCCTCCCCTCCTCCCCCGCCTCCCCGCCTCCCCCGCCTCCTCCTCCTCCTCCTCCTCCTCCTCCTCCTCCTCCTCCTCCTCCTCCTCCTCCTCCTCCTCCTCCTCCTCCTCCTCCTCCTCCCTCCCCCCGAACTCCTCCTCCTTCCCCCTAAGAGTCCTGGACCCCATCGTCCTGTGTCACTGTTCGAGCCGGCTCGATCCGCGAGGGCCCCGGGGCCCGAAAGTGGAGCGAGAACGCCCGTGCAGTGAAAAGCGCCATGCGGGTCTCGGGGCCAAGGCGGCCGCCCCCCCCCCCCCCCATCGCGCTGGCCCTCCGCGTGCGCCGCCGTCCGTCGGCGAGCTCTCCAGCAACCTGGCCGAGGCCCGCGTGGGGGGCCGCGGGGGGGGGGGGGGCGGCCCCCGCCCCCGCCCAGGCGGCGGGCACGCGACGGCGCATCTCTCCTGCCCGCGGCGTTTTGGGGCCGCGGCGTCCTCCGCGGGGGGGTTGGGCCCGCTCGGGCCAGCGCCCGCCGTCGGAACCTGGCACATGTGCAGGACCAGTCGGGCAGGGCCGCCTGCGATCCGATCCGATGCGACGCGATTCGCCAGCCAGGGCCGCGATTCCGGTTCGACCGGGCTCGATTCACCGACCCAGAGCCAGCCAGAGCCAGGCACAGCGATCCGATCTCGATTCGATTCGGGACGATTCGCTGGCGATGCGACCCGTTTCCGATCCGATCCGACTTAGCGATTCGATCCAGCGCAGGCCTGCCAGTGGCGGGCTGTGTCTCGATCCTGGGACTTTTGGAGGGTCGGGAGCGACGTCGGGGTGGTGTTGTGTATATTTGTTGTGTTTCCGTCAGGGGGGGAAGCAACGAAACAGGCACACAACAGGATCCCGCAGACATGCACCAAGATCAGTTTTTTCTTCTGCGCGTTTCAATGCGGGGCCGGAAAAGGCGTCGGTGCATAGTGTTTGGCTCCTTACTTCGCATGGTGTCGGCCCCGTCCTCCCTCAAAACAGCATCGCATAAACCTGGCAACTTTTGGAGGTCCTCGCGGATTGCTTGGATCTGCGCTGGGGCCTCCTGGCGCGCTCCGCGCGCCGGGGTGGGGGTTCCAGCTCAAATCCGAGACGCCTGCGCGGATCTCCAACTGATGAAGTTTATGCAGTTGTTCGATCCTCTACTCAGTGGTGGGGGGCGGGAAACGGCGTCCCCGGCGGTGAAAGGTGTACATTCCTTCCCCCCTCGGCAGTGTGACCCCCAGCTGGCCTTTTTAGTTCCTGCTGCCTGCCATGGTTCACGTGATGTCGAGAGACGCGGTCCCGGCCATCTTGGGCCGCTGAGACATGGCTTGTTCTTGGCCCCAGAGGCTCTTCGACAATGATTCCCAAACAGTGCTTGCACTTAGGGGTTCTTATTTGTCTTCTGAGGAAGTGGGCTGGTGTCGCGGTCTGGCGGCTATGTAGTCGCCGTCGCCGCGTCGTCGCCGCCCATCGTCTGGGCCTGTGTGGCGGTCTGACGGCTGTGTCGTAGCCGCCGCCGCCCCGTTCATTCTCTTCTTCAAAAAAGAATTAGGAAATACCTCCCCCCCAGCCTTAACGGTACATTGTTTCGCATGGCAATGTTTAAAAATGATTATGCTCCATCGTCCATGTGAAATATGAATTCATACCATCCCAGGCAGGCCGGAGTTCGGCCCGCACCTCAAAAACTATTATGCGCACGTATTTGTTTATCGCAAATCATCAGTCACCGAAAATATTCTGCAAGAAATGGGACGAAGTGTGCACGCGCGCGTCCTCGCGCGCGCATTCCAACATCCGTCAAGAACCGACGGTTTTGTAACGATTTCAGACATGTACAAACACATGGTAAGGAATCCTTCGAGAGCCGCGCAAAACATGTACAAACACATGGTTTCGCAACGAGGGTGTTCACACAAAAACTGCGCCCGCGCCCTTGCGAACTCGTTCGAACATGTACATACATATGTATATTTATATGTGTATATATAAGTTCCACCATTTGATACCAAGCGGGCCTCTCGCGCGCGCATGGCGGAATATTTCGAACGTCCTTGCACGCGTGCTGTCGCAAGCATCCCTTGCGAAAATGGGACGAAGTGCGCACGCGCGCGTCGTCGCCCGCGCATGCCGAAATCTTTCGAGTATCGTAGGTTTCGCAAGGATTTCGCAAGGATTTCAAAAGCGAGTGTCCCGAACACACTTACAAACCGAATGGTTTTTGCAACAACAGTTTTCGAACTAATCTTGCGCTCGCGGTCTTGCGGGTTCTTAAGGAAACCATGAGGTTTAACATGTGCATCACATTCTGACAAATGGGCCTCTCGCGCCGCATGCCGAATTCATTCGAACGCCTTCGCGCGTGCTGGGGGGGCACGATCCGTGTCACATAGGACCACGCGGGCCACTCGCGCACGTCGGCCGCGCGCGCATGTCGAACTCCTCCAAAGACCTTCATCGCCGACGCGAGGATATCGTCATCTGTATCGACGGGCGTGATCAACATCGGCGCCGTCGTTGGCCTGACCGTCGCCATTGCCACCATCGTCACCATCATTGCTACTCTCATAATCGTGTCTACCGTTGCCGGCGTCGCCATGATACCGCGCCCGCCTAAGTCACCGACACGCACTGAAGTGCCCGTTGGGAAGTGCCCAGCGGTCAGCGCCACCGCGGCCGCGTTGGTCGCGCCAAACTAGCTGGCCGCTGTGCGCGCGAGCATGCGCGGGCTAGCGCGGCTGCAGGGACGCACCAGCCAACGCCAAGCACTGATCGCAATCGCCGCCGCATGGGTTTTGCAAATCAAGTTGTGGGGTGGGTGGGTTGGTGGGATGTGTGCAAAGGCGTGGGATGTGTCAACTTAGTTGTAGACGTCCTCGTGCTCTTGGATTGCACCACGTAGATTCTCCCCTGTGAAAAGAATTAGGATCGACACCCCCCCGTGCCTTGACAGTAGTCCTTGTCGTATTGCAATTTCAATATGAGTCCTCCCCATCGTCCCTCCCATGTTTGAATTCGTACCATCCCAGACAGGCCGGAACTCGGTCCATCCCTCATCGCCTGCAAAAGCTATGATGCGCGCGAACTCGCTCGTATCACCAATCGTAAGTTTTCAAAAACCCTTACGGAACATGAGACGACGTGCA